GGAGAGGGAGGGGAGGAGGAGGGGCAAGGAAGGCTGGAGGATGGGGAGGGGAGGAGGGGGGCCACGACAGGCTCGCGTCGTGAACAGAGCCACCGCGCGGGGCCGCCGTCCGCTCGCGGCCTCCCAGGGGCCGTCGCCTGGCCTCGGGACCGCTCGTGCGGCGCTGCTCGGGATGGAAACGCTGGTCCTGCGGAAGGGGTCGGGACTTCCGGGGGCCGCTCCTCCTCCTCCTCCTCCTCCCTCCTCCTCCATCCTCTCCTCCTCCTCCTCCTCCTCCTCCTCCTCGTCTCCCTCCTCCCCCTCCTCCTCCTCCTCCTCCTCCTCCTCCTCCTCCTCCTCCTCCCCCTGGGATGGAAACGCTGGTTCTGGGGGCCGCACATTGAAATCGGCAAGATATCGCTTTCCGGGGCAAGCAGAGCGGGTGGGGCGGGGGAGGAGGGGGGCCAAGGCCACTGGGTGAGAAGCCCCATAGCCAACCTCCCGCCGGGCGCGCCCCGACGGAGGCATGACGGCCGCTGGCGTGGCGGACAACACGCTTGGGAAGTCCTGGGCCTGAACCGTCTGCCTCTTCGGGTGCCTCAAGGATGGGTTGAATGGAAGCGGCCCTGAAGGTAGGGTGAGGGCCTTGGATGAGGAGCCGTTGGATAAGGAGTCCAGGGTCTAAGAGCTGGTGGAACGCGGATTGAGGCTTGGCCATGGATGCAGGGGGCAGTCGCGCGCGCGGGGGCCTTGGCGATGCACTCGGCATTGCCCATAGCTGCAGCGAGCTGGCGGCCTCTCCAGCTGCGGGTGGCGGGGGAGGAGGTCCACACGAGGAAGGGGAGGTGAGGAGGGGAGAGGGATCAGTAAGGCGGCAAGAAGGAGCGGAGGCAGAGGAGACGAGGGGGAGGAGGAGGAGGAGGAGGAGGAGGAGGAGGAGGACGAGGACGAGAAAGAGGGAAAGCTCCTGACAAGCCTGCACCCACAGACGCCGATTGCATTGGCAGCAGAGCAAATCCACACATATCGTATCGGTCAGAGGAAGAGGAGGAGGAGGAGGAGGAGGAAGAGGAGGAGGAGGAGGAGGGGGAGGAGGAGGAGGAGGAGGGGGGATAGGAGGGGGGGGAGGAGGAGCAGGAGGAGGAGGAGGAGCGGAGGAGGAGGAGGAGAGGAGGAGGGAGGAGAGGGAGGAGGGGGAGGAGGAGGAAGAGGAGGAGGAGGAGGAGGAGGAGGAGGACGGGGACGAGGAGGAGGAGGACGAAGAGGGCGCCATGTCGTGTCAGAGAGACGACCGACGCGCGAGGAGGTCCAAGACGATCCACGCCTCCGGCGGCAAAGGCACCCTGGCCTTTTGTCGGTGGGCGTTGGCGCCACGGCCGGCGCTGGCGACATGATCGGCGTCGGCGACCATGGGCAGGAGCTCAAAAGGACAGTGAGCGACACGGGCAAAGTTAGGAGGCAACTGCTGGGAGGTTTTCGTCGGAAAGATTAAGGAGGATCAAGCCCCATTTGGGGGCTATTACGCCGGAGTGGGCCTCGGAGTAAGCGGGATTAAACCGGATTAAGCGGGATTAAGCCAGATTAAGCGGGATTAAGCGGGATTAAGCCGGATTTCAGACCAGGGCAAGATCAGAATTTGACCTCCCAGGAGTTGCATCCGAAGCAAAGGCCAGAGGCTGCACCAGAGAAAAAACCCAATCGATGGACGGCTCTCGATGAGAAAGTTCGACCGGGAACAAGGGAACCCGGAGCCCACCGAACTCGGCCCGGAACCAAGAACCAGGAAACCGGGAACCCGGAACCGGGAACCCGGCAACCCAGCCCGCCAACAGAATCGGCGGGACACTCTCGCCAAATCTTTCAATTTCCACGGGGACCCCTTGAGTGCAAGCACTGATTGGGAAAAAACTGCACCAAAACACGAAAGATTTGAGCAGGGACCGACCGTCCCGGCATTCCTATAGCCCTACCACGAAATGTTCGTAGAACCCAAAAATGTTCGAAGAACAAAAACAACGTTCTTAGAACATCAACCCGATGTGTTCAAACAAGACAATCTCAACCAGAAAGGTTCTAAGAACCTTTCGTGGAAACCACAAAAGGTTCTTAGAACATTGTTTGGTGGGGCTATAGGCGAGCCGGGGCGCTCCGCCACTGCTTGATAAGATGCAGCACCGTGACAGCTGGACGGACGCGCACGCCAGGCGACGTGCCCCGCGCCGACAAGGCCCACGGCCTGGATCCCCGGCCTCTCGCTGTCCCTCGGGGCCCCGGGCCGAACACCAGCAGCAGTGCTGACAACACGGGTGGCACCAGCTTCTGCGAGCGCCAGGGGAGATTGGAGGAGGCATGCCGCGCTGCTGTGCGCTTCCTCCACCTCCTGCCGCTGCACCTCCTGCCGCTCCTGGGGGAACAAGGGCTCCTAAGTTCGCGCTTCGCGCTGCGCGAAGCGCGAAGCGCGAATAACTTCGCGCTCTCGCGCCGCCCTCCCAAAGGGAGAATAGGAGGACGAGGAGGAGGGGGAGGAGGAACGAGGACCGCGAAGCGCGAATAACTTCGCGCCCTCGAGGGAGCCCTTGGGGGAACGACCGCCTGCATTCACAGAAACTCTCTCGGAGGTCCACGCGGATGCCTTGGATCGGCGCTGGACCCCCCTCCCTGGCACGCGGAGCACGCCAGGCCCAGATGGTCTGGTACCGGAAATTTTCGGTAGCGATTTCGACGCACCCCGAATTTCGGTAGCGACCGGATCTTCGTTGGAGGGCGTGGAAATAGCGGGTTTCGGAGCGCTCTGATACCGGTACTGGGCGCTACATTTCGGTATTTCGGTAGCGACCGATCTCTGCGGAGCGCTACCGGAAATTTTCGGTAGCGGACCATCAGGGGGGGCATCGCCGGAGGCGCCGTCAGGTGGGCCCTGGCGCCGAACCAAGAAATCCGCGCGGCGATCAGACAATGAATCCTCATGCAGTTTCACTGTGCCGGTCTGGCAGACGTGCTGCAGCGATTTTGGCGCGGATGTCCGTGAATGCAAAACCCTGACACGGCAAGCGAAAAACTAAGTGAATGTCACGTGGATGTGCTGAAGTCTTCATTCCTGGCCATTCAAAGACAGCACGAAATTCACTCCGAAATTCGCGACGATACTCTCCAGGACAGTCCGGGCCAGTCCTCTTCGAGCTCCTGCTCGCCTGCACCCCTCCCCCAGTCGGGCGCTGGCAGAACTGGGTTTAATGGAACCTGGTTTAATGATACGTACTGGGGGACGCCCCCCCGCCCCGTTCCACTAACCGGAACTGCCGCCACCCGAAAAAATACCGGCTACGGGAGACCTGGTTTAGTGATTCTGGCCAATTTAGGGGCTCCGGGGCCCTACTACATCGCCGTGATGAAAACTTCTTTCAATTTGCCTTTTGGAATGACGCGCTCGTGCGGAGTAGTTCGAAGTAGTTTTACTAAAACTACTCCGCGCGCAATCGCATCCCGCTGGATCATATACATGGTTTGGCGCGGAGTAGTTTCCGATCCCGTTTTGGGGTAGTAGAGTTATTAACGTCTGTGGCATCAGAAACTACTCCGCCGAATGATCCCAGCATCATGTCATGTTAGGAATCTTGAGATGGATGGGAGAGATCTTCAACACAGCAAACTGAAGAAACTTTTGTCACGGCCGTGTACTAACCGGGTCCCCTTACCTGGGGTCCTGGCTATACCCGACCCAAGACCGCCCCGCCACCCTGACCTTCCAGGAGGACTGAAAGAATGGCACCCGACCCAAAAACCTATCCCAGAGCTATTATACGTCTTGGTTTTAGGCTAATTCGTTTTGTTTGTTAGGTTTTTAGGCCTCCAGTGCCTTATGTCGGGCGTGTCCCCCTACAGAGGAATTTTCGACGAAAAATTTAAAAAATACCACAACAATACCCCAAGAAGGTCAAAAAATACCCCTTTGGGGTATTTTCTATTTTTCGTCGACAATGCCCCTGTAGGGGGAAAGGCTCGACTTAACGCCAGACGGGAGGCACGAGCACCCCGCCAGGCCCCTCCCCGACCCCGCCACCGCGGGCCGCTGCATTGCGCCGGACGGGCGCCGGGGCCGCGCGCGTCCCCGCGGGACCTCCCCGGGAGCTGCAGGCGCATAGAGCGCGGGCGCAGGGCGGTGCCGATGGGTCCCGGATGACATGACGAGTACGGCTTGGGAGGAGCAGGAGGAGGAGCAGGAGGAGGAGGAGCAGGAGGAGGAGCAGGAGGAGGAGGAGGAGGAGCAGGAGGAGGAGGAGGAGGAGAAGGAGGAGGAGGAAGAGGAGGAGCAGCAGCAGCAGGGGAAACCCGCGCGCGCGACCCCCCAGATAACAAACTTCGGGGGTCTGTTGGGGATAGTCAACGATGTCCCTGGGGAAGGTGATGTCAGTTATAAGTGATGATGATGCTGCTGCTGCTGCTGCTGATGATGATGATGATGATGATGATGATGATGATCATCATGATGATGGTGATCAAGGCTTCGGGTTGCGCCAGACAGCCCCCTCCCAGGTGGTCCCAGCTGCTCTCAGCAGCCCTCCCGAGCACGCCCTGCTGGCCTCAGCAGGCCCCCCGAGCCGTCCGGGGCGGTCTCCACACCTCAACCCTGCAGGGGCCGTGGAGCGCCCCGGGGACGCCGGCAGAGGCGGCGCGAGGGTGTTGAGACCGCCGCGGACTACTCGGGGGCCTGTTGAGGCAACCGGGACTACTCCGCGGGGCCGGCCATGGACTCCCGGGGGGGGGGGGCTGTCGGCGCGCAACCCGAAGCCTTACCACGTCGGAAACCCTGAGGACGATGGCGCTGGCACCTCTGCGGGGGTATAAACCCCCTTTCCCCCACCACACTCGGGCATTCCGCCGGCTCACGCCGAGGGCTAGAGGTTGAACATTCGATTCGTCGATGTTTTGGTGGAACGCTGTGTGTGTCGCGCCTCCGCGCGAGAAGCATGCCCAAAACCGCCGCTCGCACCTTGTCAGTACCCACCCTCCAAGCTCACCGTACTTTTGAAACTCTCGGGCGCCTCGCGAAGCTCACGCAGCTTCTGGTAGAACACTTCCCAGGAGTCTTTCAAGTACGTCTGGGTAAAGTCTGCGTTGTGCGAGGTGAGCAACGTGTTCGGCGCGCCCCACACCGGGGAACTCTCCGGAAGCGGCTCGACCTCGAACACGTCCAGCGCCGCGCCAGCAATGCCACCGGAGTGGAGCGCCTCGCAGAGCGCCGACTCGTCCACGCAGACGCCGCGCCCGATGGATATGAAGACCGCCGTCTCCTTCATGGCAGCGAACTCCGCGGCCCCGCAGAAATGGCGCGTCTGGGGGGTGCCTGGCAGGGAGCACACCACAAAGTCGGAGCGGCGGAAGAGCTCCAGCCGCTCCGTGGCATCGTCTATGCCGAAGACCTCGTCCGCGTCGCACTTCTCTGACGCCCCGCTCTTGCGCCGCCGCAGCGCCAGGATCCGCATGCCGAAGGCCCTGCACAGGCGTGCCGTGGTCTGGCCGATGTCCCCGAAGCCCACGAAGCCGACGGACAGCCCGCGGAGCTCGGGCATCACGAACTTATCCCAGGCCTTGCGTCTCTTGTTCTCCTGGATGTGTGGCACTCGCTTGTTCAGACGAGAAGCAAAAACCATTTCCGTGGAGGACCCATCGGGGTGGGGATCGACCCCTGGGCAGCGGCACGCCCGCCTGAGCGTCACCAAGAGCTGGACGACGCCCAAGCATGCCACCGCCCATGGATCGGTGCTCCCCTTCGGTGGCAACTCATGGGAGCCTCCCGTGTCATCTTTAGTGGCTCTTGCGAATCGACGCCAACCGACGTTAGTCGAAGCTACATCTCACCAGCCCTGTAGGGCGTGAGTGGTTTAGAGGGCTTCCTCTCTCAACCCCCTTCTTCCCCTTGGGGGAGGGGTTTGTCACTGCTCCCTATGAATGAACACCCCCCCGCCCAGGCGACCGGCAGGAAACCGAGACCAGGGAGGGCTCCCCCCCACCATCCCTGTCAAAGCACAATGTGCCGTCCACTTTGGGGCAGAATCTTGGGTCATGACCGGGGGGCAGCGAGCACTGCGCGCATTGTTTTTGGCAGGGACGGCGGGGGGGCCCGCACATTGCCTGCTGCGCGCAAGGCCAACACCCCTGCCAGTCAGGATCGACCCACGACCCCGGAGAGGGATATCGAATGTGAGGCCGGGCAATATTGCCAAGACACCAAATTGGGCGACGGGCAATCGCAATGCTGAACGTATCGATCTTGATGTACCGTGCCAGGGGCTGTGCTGTGCCGTGCCGTGCTGAGTTGCGGTTTGCCATGCCGCGGCTGTGCCCTGCAGCGGTGTGGATCGAGTCCTCCTTGGCATCCAAGTCCTGACCGAACTGATCTGGACCTTAAGCTCGAGCTGTCTGAGCACTAGTAGCTGGCCCACAACTATGTAGTTGAAGTCGAAACCTACGGGACGTTCATTCAACTCGAGCTCAAAATCCAACTCAGCTCTTCAAAGGGACGACACGACACGGAGCATCGGCTCACGGACGTGCCACAGAATGTGCCAGGGGCGCATTAGCGGATGCGCCAGGGGGCGTGTCAGGGGATGTATTAGGGGACGTGCCCTGCAATCAAGTACCATCCCTCCTTTGATCGAACTCACCCAAGATGGCCCCCAAGACCCCCAAGAGTGTCCCAAGAGGGCCCCAAGAGGCGCCCAGGAGGCCTCAAGACACCTCCAACAGGCCCCCACGAGGCTCCCAAGCGACCCCCAAGAGGCCCCAAGAGGCTCCGCAGAGGCGCCCGAAGCGCTCCAAGAGGCCCCGGGACCACCAAGAGGCCCCCAAGACGTCCCCAGAGGACTCCAAGACGCTCTCAAGAGGCATCTGAAGAGACTCCAAAAGGCATCCAAGATGCCTCTGACCTGTCTGCTCGCCCTCCTCCTCATCCTCATCCTCATCCTCTGCCTCATCCGCCTAATCCTCCTCCTCCTCCTCCTCCTCCTCCTCCTCCTCCTCCGCCTCCTCCTCCGTCTCCTCCTCCTCCGCCTGCTCCTCCTCCAACTCTCTCCCTCATCCCGCTCACCCTCTCCCTCCCCGTCCTTCTCCTTCTCCTTCTCCTCCTCCTCCTCCTCCTCCTCCTCCGCCTCCTCCTCCGCCTCCTCCTCCTCCTCCAATTATCTCCCTCCTTCCGCTCACCCTCTCCCTCCCCATCCTTCTCCTTCTCATCCTTCTCCTCTCCTCCTCCTCCTCCTCCTCCTCCTCCTCCTCCTCCTCCTCCTCTTGCTCCTCCAACTTCCATCCTATGCCGCTTGGGGTCTGACAGCTTCCCCAGCCCTGAATTCCACTGCATGCTCCTCAACATCCCTGACCAGGGCAACTCGCTTGGGCGTCGTTTCTGGATTGGCTGATGGGGTCACACGGAGCATCTAGAATCGACGCTCATCGACGATAAAGATGTGCTTGCTCATCGATTGCCAGATGCTGGCACACGCGAGTGCACTCGAAAGACGGAATCACGAGGACCCACAAAAGGCTCCCATGCTCGGCTATACGGGACCCCCCCACGAGGATGGGCTCTCGGTGGCGGTGGTCTCTCGGAGCAGGGCGGCCTGAGACAGAGCCTGTTTTTTAGAGACCCCGGCAAGTTTACTTGCATGGGGGAGGGCGGCACCTGAAGCAAGCCGCAAACGACTTGCGACTTGCACGTGCGGAAATCACGCAAGTCGAAAGGCGCTTGCATTCGTGTGAAGAGGGGCGAGGAGAGGGGGGGGGGGGGCGAACGCCATGCGAGTAAACTTGCCTGAATCTATAAAAAACAGGCTCACACTGGGAGCTCAAAATCGGACACCCCGACCTCTCCCAGGGATCCAACCGCACCAACCCCCTCCGTGCTCTGCGCCCAGCCCGGGCGACGAGGGCCCCCCTCCCCGAAGGCCGACCACCGGCACCTCCACCGGCCCTCCTCGGAGGTCTGCTTCTCCTCTGCGCTTGTTGAAGTGCAGCATCGCCGCGAGCGAGTACTCCGCCAGGCTGGAGGAGAACGCCCCGCGAGCGTTGGTCACGGCCACACCTTCCATGCGGGGCAGCCTGCGCAGCACCGGCACCAGCGAGTCCACGCCAGCGGCCAGCGAGTGGACCCACCGCACGCCAGGGCAGTGCGTCCACAGCGCCTCGACGACGCTCGTCGGTGGTTCAAAGATAAGGTCCTGAGGGATGGGGGCCTAAGGACGAGGTGCCTCAAACAATATGAATCCACCTTTGGAACCCTCCCTATCCTTAGGACCCCATCCCTCAGTTCAGGACCCCATCTTGGAACCACCGAGCTCGGGTCCCCCCCAGCAAAGGCGCCCAGGATGATGCCCTGCTAAGACGAAGCCAGGACGAGGACAAGTTCGGATCGTCGGATGAAGATAAGCATCGAGATTCTCTGCGATCCGGCGGTTCTGTAGGATGTATCGGGCGCCGCGGCCTTCTCAGAGCGTTCCGGAACGCTCTGCGAGCGTTGCGAAACGCCCTGGAACGTGCTTGGAACTTTCTGCTGCAACGCATGGGAGCCTCCGATACCATCTTGTTGGCTCTTACGAATCGACGCTCGTCTCATCGACGCTGATCGACGCTAAACCGATACTAGTCGACGCTAAGTCGACGCGCATCGACCCTGAATCGCCACTGCTCCATCCAGCACCAGACGCGAATCGACGCGAGTGTACTCTGAAGAATGAGTTACGAGGGTACGCAAGGCTCCCATGATCTGCTGCCACAGGAACGGCTGTGTCCTTGTCCAGAGCCCGTCCGACCTTCACCTGACACAACTTGTGGCCGGCGGCGGCCTGGAACTCCTGAAGCGAGTTCGCGACGATCATATGGGGAAGAACAATGACGCAAACATAATAACTCGGAGGTCCGCGCGGATTTCTCAGATCGGCGCGGGGACCCCCTGGCGCGCTCCACGCACCAGGGAGGGGATTCCCAAGCGCGGATCCAAGAAATCCGCGCGGACCTCCGAGTTATCATGCTTATGTCACTGTTCGCTCCCCTGGATCAGCTCGGCCTCGGCCGTCAAGCCGCCGCAGAGCTCCTCGAAGCCGCGAGCCATGGGGGTCTTTGATGGGCAACTCTTCCACCACCGCTACCATATGTAGCACGGGGGAGAGGGGAGGATGAGGAGGTCCTCCTCCTCCTCCTCCTCCTCCTCCTCCTCCTCCTCCTCCTCCTCATCCTCTTCCTCCTCCTCCCCTCCTCATCCCTCTTCCTCCTCCTCCTCCTCCTCTCCTCCCTCTTCCTCCTCCTCCTCCTCCTCCTCCTCCTCCTCCTCCTCCTCCCTCTTCCTCCTCCTCCTCCTCCTCCCTCCCTCCCTCCCTCTCCTACGTATGGTAGTGGTGGTGAGAAGTGGGCCCACCGGCCTTGGCATCTGCAATGACGGCCAGCAGCGTGGGGTCCATGGATCCCCTCGGCACGCCGGGCCTGGACCCCCGAGCGGCGCCGTGCCTCGAGCCGAGAGCGGCCACGGAGGAGGCCACGTCGGCGCCCCTGGGTTCGGATACTCAGAGTTTCTTCAGAAGCGTCGGGGGGGCTAGAAGGTCAGAGATGCTCCCTTCTAACCCTCGGCCGCGTGCTTAGATGTGCGTCGGGGGTCAGGGTGGTGCGGTTTCTTCATGAGCGTCGGGGGGGAGGGCTAGCAGGCCAGATATGACGCGAGGACACCTACTCCGAGTTTCTTAATAAGCGTCGGGGGGGCGTCACCCCCGCCGGCAGCCCCACATCGACCCCCGTCGCGGGCAGCCACCGCGCGCCGAAGGCGCTCCGACCCCCGTCGCGGCGCGACGACGAGGCGAGGTTGACCCCCTGTTGTGGGGGGTACCCCCCCCCACGCTGATTGAGAAACCCAGAGTAGCTATTTAGGGCTTGGCTTAGGTCGGGCATGTCCTCCTACAGGCGAATGTTGGGCGAAAAATTCAAAATATAATCAAAAGATAGACATAGCCAAGCATAGTCAACACATCGTCCACTGACTATTGTTTGACTATTTATTTATATTCCTCCTGTAGAGGGACAGGCCCGGCTTAAGGCCTGGCTCTGGAACAAGAGAAAGGAAGAGGGAGAGGACGGGGACGACCGCGACGCGTCACAGGTAAACGCATTCTCTCCATGGCAAAAGGCGGCAAGGCTGGCATGAGGCTCCGTTCCACAGGCGCCCCAGCCGGGCGCGAAAGAAGCAGCCGCAGCAGGAGGAACAGCAAGCCTGGAGGAAGAGAACGACAAGTTGACTATATCAGAACTAGAACGACGCGCACTCCGCGCGCGCTTATGTTCTAGCCGCGCCCAGGAAACGCGCACCGCAACTTGAGAGTGCACCAGTGAGGAAGTGTAGGGGTGGATCCTTGATGCCCCCCGTGTACACGCAATGCATCGACTGATCCCGTGCATTCATTTATGCTCCCACTCCTACACCCTGCGAAATGCTTAAGAAATCATGGGTGAAATTCAGAGTCTCAGAATTTGAATAAAAATCCGGCATTTCTATTCAAATCTTAAGATTTGCATTGAAACATTACGAATAATCGAGACTCTGACCGAAAACTAAGTTTTCTTAAGCATCGCCTAGGGTGTACCGCCAGCTTCACGCTTTTCCCCTTACCTCTTGTCATCAGGCCTCGGCTGCTTCACACATCGATGTCCGCTTCAGCTTCGAACGTCGTATCCTCTGTCCGCGCTCGCTTCGCGGGCATGGAAGTCCTGGGTAGGCTTCTGGACAATCACCCGTGCCACGATGAAGGGCGTACGTTACCCCTCAATTCGTCTTCCTCCTCCTCCTCCTCCTCCTCCTCCTCCTCCTCCTCTTTCTCCTCCTCGTCCTTGTCCTGACTGCGCTCCCCACCCCCACCCTCCCGCCTTCCTCCCTACTCCCTCCCCTCCCCCCCCGCCTCATGATATCTTACTCCCTGCGGTTCTGTAACCCCCTGCGGTTCTGTAACCCTCATCTGCCGACCCGGATACGACGACGGCGTCATCGACGACGATGACAAGGGGGAGCAGAAAGAGGAGCATGTACAGTTCCAAGTCAGGGCTGTACTGTTGAATCTTGTGGCGTGCTGGGAACCTTTTGGTTCCATCCTGGTCTTCCGGGGCCCCCTTCGGCTCGCCTAGGGCCGTCCAAGAAGTGCCGTGGGACAGCTCGGTACATACTGTCGTGGCTATCGCGGACAAAAATGCGTGGGGGATCTTTGAGCCGTGATGTTTCTCTCTATTGGGGATTGTCTCTTGGGACTGTCGTGTGGTTCGCGTGACGACCTACCAGACCACCCCAACCCAACCCGAAGAGCCGAATTTCGGGTTGGAGGGGTACGCGCTCGAAGGATTGCAAAAAAACCCTTCACTCGAGGATTTTTTTTGCAATCCTTCGAAGGGTTTTTTTGCAATCCTTCTTGGGTTTTTTTGCAATCCTTCGTTCTGTGTTTTTCAAGTGTTCTCCGCCCCCGCCCCCACCGGAAAGGGAGGGCAGATGGGGGGTCTTCGGGTTGGGGCCGGGGTGGTCTGCTGGGCAGTGAGCTGGGGGATGGCCTGGGGCCAGAGGTAAAAAGGCTGGGGCCTTTTGCGGGTCTCTTCGAAGATATTTTCGGCGTCCTGGGGTCATATTTGGGGTGGTTTGCTGGGCAGTGAGCTGGGGGATGGCCTGGGGCCACAGGTAAAAAAGGCTGGGGCTTTTTGCGGGTCTCTTCGAGGGTACTCCAGATTTCGTGATAAAAGGGAGGGGGTCTGGACCCTCCAAGACAAGCCATTTCAGACCCCCCCCCCCCCGTGGGAGAACCCTCCAAAACATCGTCCCCAGACCCCCCCAGGCCCTCCAAGATAGCCTGGAAGAGACCCCCCCCGAAATGAGACCCCTTATTACGAAATCTGGGGTAAAAAGGCTGGGGCCTTTTGCGGGTCTCTTCGAGGATCTTTCCGGCGTCCTGGGGTCATATTTGGGGGGGCTTCGCAGACCTGCCGGCAATCTCGGGGGCCCCTGAAGGCGGGGAGCTCGATATGTCAGCTCGAACACTCATTTTTTTTGGCCGTCTTGGGCGCCTCGTGGGCCGTCTTCTGCCTCTCTTGGGCAGCTTCGACGCCTCGCCAGGGGCCCATTTGACAGTCGTGGAGCGATCTTGGAGGGGCAATTCGGCCGTCTTGGAAGCTGCGAGCACCAGCCTCATGAATGTGCTAAACATAAACGTTTTCCTAAAAGAATGGTGGGACGATTTGTGCGTCTGGTTGGAAGCGGAAAGTTCAAACTATTACTTTGAAGCTAATTGCTAAAGGAAACAAGCCTTCCAGTAAACTGCTGTTGCTCTGTTGCTCGATAGCCGCGGCGGCGCGTCCGAATTGCCGAGCCGCACCGTGCGTTCGCGCCCTGAATCTTCTGTCAGGGAGCACCTACAAGTCGCTGAAAACATGACCAAGGGTCGTCACGACCCCATGTAACGCGACCCTGGCTACTCGAGCGTATACATCGCAGGGTGAACCGGCACGAGAAACATGGCCCTGACCCCGCATCACCACCGCATCCCCAGGGCACTATCAAGGCAGACCGCGGACTTTACTAAAGCGAGGAAACGGCTTTACTAAAGCGAAGAAGAAGCTTCAGGACAGGCGCGCCGCTCGATACGTTCCGACAACAACGACGCTTTTACTCAAGCGAGAAAAGAGAGCTCCAGTCGTAGCGGAGGAACGGCCGGGGTAAAACTGCGCGCAGAAGTCTCGCTCCTCCCATGAGATCTGGCCCGGGACTCCAGGAGCGAGGGCGGGGCGCAAGGTCGCCTGTGGGCCGGGGGCGCCGTCGCCGCGATGTTCGTCGCCGCCGCCGTCGCCGTCGCCGCCGTCCTCGTCGCCGTCGGCGCAGGCGCCGCCGCCGCCGTCGCCGTCGCCGCCGTCGTCGCCGCGACGCCCGCGCAGTGGCGTCATCGCCCGCGGCGGGTCGCGCACGACCGCGCGCGCCTCTGCGCTCGCATCCCCGCTCGGCCGACGGGGGCCCAGGCGGACGTCATGATATACTTCTGTCTGTTGCGCCCCCCAGCTCGTTCAAAGAGCCGCGGATCTGAGGCCCTCCTCGGGGGGGCTCTCGGAGCTCTCTCTTTTGGACCTCCTGGGGGGCCTGTTGGCCGGCTTGAGACGAGATGGAGCCGTCGTGGAGTGCTCTCGGAGCGCTCTCGGGTCGTCTTGGAGGCCT